CGTGTCGTCTTCCCTCCTCTTCCTCTCCCTGCTTTACCGTCGTTCTTCACTCCTCTTCCTCTCCCTCTACCGTATCGTCTTCCTCCCTCTTGCTCTTCCTCTCCTCTACCGTTGTCTTCCTCCATCTTCCTCTCCCTCTGTCCTCTCCCTCTACTCTACCGTCGTCTTCCTCCTCTTGCTTCTTCCTCTTCCTTTCCTCTACCTCTACCGTCGTCTTTCCTCCTCTTGCCTCTTTCCCTACCATCTACCTCGTCTTCCTCCTCTTCCTCTTCCTTGGGAGTCATCCCGCTCGTTCTTCGCTCCTCATTCCATACTTCCTCCCCCTCTACCGTTCGTCTTCCTCCTCTTCCTCTTCCTCTCTTTCTCAATCTTCGTCTTCTTCCTCTTTCTCAATCTTCGTCTTCTTCCTCTTTCTCAATCTTAGTCTTCTTTCGTCAATAGAGTAATTTTTTTAATATCCTCGCCTACGCGTACCCCTCCGAGATATTAATAAATAAGACGTGATTATTTATCAAGTCCCATCCCCTTATTAGCAGCTGAGGCGGCCCATCCTCGCTTTTATTCTCGTAAGTTACCTAATATTTAGAGGTGTCGGGTGCCCCGCAGGTCTCGGTACTCTCAGCCGATTACAGATAAGGCTAATTACTAAGGGAATGCGATGAAAAGGATATGACGATGGTTGGAAGACTCCCACTCTGTCGGAACACACAACGCACAAAACAACCCGAGGTGAGATTTGCACCCGCGACTCTTTGTACTGAGGTCGTTCCGGCCTATGTTACCACCTTACCGATCTCCAACTACCCAAGTCCATCTTAGATTGATTGATTGATTGATTGATTGATTAGTGTTTCTGGGTACGACCACTGCCAAGGTCATTACTCCCGTAAGTGTAATGCATATTTTTCGACCGTAGAGTTGAATGTAGCCATCTTAATGCTTTAAGTAAACTATCGTTTGAAGCACCGAAACATGTGCAAATCTCAAAAAAAAAATATTCAAAGTGTAACTTGAATGCCGTGAAAAACAAAATAAATAGACGTCGGATAAGAATAAAAAAGTACGTGTAAATAACTTCTGAAATCTTTCTGCCGGAACAGTTTAGATAACAATGGATTACATGGAGTAAATAACTTAAGTACTAAACATCAGAAGTGAAATCTTCGTTAGGAAAATTCGAAAAGAAATCTTCGATAGGAAAATACTTGCATATCCCATAAAACTACACGGACCTTTCATAATTCACGGCCTCCACTTTGAACACTACTGGTATAGGTGGTTAAAATGGGTATGTGATTTTAATGTGATGGGTATGTGATCGCCTTTAAGATACAAAAAACATCGTGCCGTACGAGGAATTCCTATTCCACTCCCAAGGCAGAACGATTGCTACCCAACCGTCTACATCGGTTTTTATTTCAGTTATTCTAATTTTAGTGAAAGAGAATCATCTGTAAACGGCAAGCTGTTAATCATTAATGAAAACTTAAGTAATCAGAGATGCCAGCTTATTTTTATCACAATCATCTATTAGTAAGAGTAATGAAATCTTTAGTTCAAAATATAATATTGAGTGTAAACTGCAAGTAATTTTGTGTACATCCCCATATCGTTATGTGCCGTCTTTGCTCGGTTCGGTACACTTCCAACTCCTTGCTCAACCCCTCGCCCAGACGTTACTCTTAATACACAACTGCAATGCGGGTTGCAGTAACCCCAATTCAAAAAACCTATTGAGAGTTTGCTCCCCCCTCCCCCCCGAGATTTTTCCTCGGACGCTCTATCGTATTCGTACAAAATATTCTTGAAATTTCTCTGATACACCCGCGTTCTAAAGTTATGCTGTAACAGACAAGCATGCATTGAGTATTTTGTAAATTCTTCAGATGCCAGATATTAGTGGGGCTTCTATACATCGAATCTTGTGGTTTCTAAAATGGTAGGAAAGCATTATTGAAGTACATTTATAAAATAAATGTTTTTTAATATATGTATTGATCAAATGATGTGGTTGATGTGGTTTAAACAGATTCGCACGCATGCGTTTCTTAACATAATTTCTAGAATGGAAAAATCGTGATTTAAAAATTGAGATTTATTATTAAATCTGATATTAATTTCTCTTAATATTTACTCGAATGTATTAATATAGGATTTTTTATTAAAATAATTTGATATTAATAAATATCTTCGTTGGCGCGTAATTTATTAAATTGATCAAATAAAGACATACACTATTATATAGGGTTATATTTTATAATAACATAATTAAAATATTACGCTTCGTCATGGCTTGCACTTTAGTAAACATTTTCATGAAAAAAACTTGGAAACGGAAATAACTTTGCATAAAAAGTAATTTGTGACTACTTTTAAGACACAAAGTGTCTCATACTAAAACTGCGTTGTTTCCTACATGTTCAGGTATTGATATAAATTGCAGTTTTGCATTTTGAAAATGTAATTGTGCGCTGTTGATTAATGGAAATCAGGCAGGCCCTTGAGGACACACAGTCTGGAAGAGTTTGATGAAAAGAGAGAAAAAAGTTTATTGATTTAAATCAATATTCGGAGATGTACTTAAACGCTGAATATTGTCCTAATTGTGAAACGTGTCATTCATCTCCTAACTACCTTATATAGATAAAATACACAATGACTAACTACAGAAATATCAGGGACAGAAATATTCAATTTATTACTTCCGATAAAGAGTGGATGCGAGGTAGTGGTAGACGAAACATGAATTTTCACGCCTAACATGTCAACTCCATTGACACACATGTATAGCAGATTGCCTACATACCCGTATTTGGCATGCACCTTCGCCTTTATCGCGTTTCGGAAGTCGACTTCTTGATTCTGATACTGCTGCGAATTTACTTGTCTTTCCTCGCCACCTCAATTTTTGTATTCTCTTGCACTTTAAGTGTTCGACATTTTATGAAAAGTATTTATTGGGATGCTTGCTGTATAATTTTATCAGTAGAGTGTTATTTCAGTACAGAAATTCGACGGTCTCGAATAACAAACGTGAAACGCGTTCGTGTAGGCATCACAATATTGTAATGCTTTGGCTCGGTGATGTGTCCAGCATCAGGTTCCGACCGCGATAGCCTTCAAGAAATCGTGATACTCATTGAAGGGCTAGGTTCAGATCTCGCTTCTAACGAAATGCGAACCCCCTAGACTTTCTACAGTTTTCCTCTCAAGACTAATTAAATTCTGTGTAATTTGGTTGATTTCAGTTCCTGTTAAATGGTAATAGGTTACACTCACTGGCGGAAGACTGTGCTTCATGCATAAAAACAAAACTGTTTTAGTTATTTGTTGCAAATAAATGGCTAATTAAGTACGTGTTGTTCAGTTCATTTAAAAATATTGCAATTCTACTGTAAGGTTTTCCCTTTGCATCAGAAATTGAATTAATTGAAAGATAATAATTATTGATCGCAACTATTCTTATTGTAAGTTAAAGTACTAAGGACTTTAAAATGTTCTTGAACAATTATTTTCTTTCTTTGTCCTAAAGTAACGCTAATTTTTTGTTCCTTATTATTTTGGCTTAAAATCATGCGTCTCCAAAAAAAGCTCAATTTGACTTTGACAATCGTACCCAGGTATTGACGTTGGTCCCATACTGAAAAGTCGCGTTGGTTGCAGGGCACCACAACGAGCAGCGCGTTGCCGACGGCGCCGCGGCAGGCGCTTCTGGGCGCGCGATGCGGCAGCGTGCGCGCCGCCATCCAGATCTTCGAGAGCGGCGGCTCGGCCACGGCGGTCCGCACCAGCGCAGGCCCCGCCCGCCCG